CATCATCCAAGTCATCATCATCACTCTTTGCTGATTAACTTCAGGGCAGAATAAGGGGTACTGATGGCTAATACCAGTGCTGACATCCCAAAGCAACAACTTCACGTAACAGCATTGGAGTCCATGAGTTACCTGCTCCTTCTAATGAAGCCTGCCAGTCAACAAGTCCCATGGACCCAAACTCCCAACTTTCCCATTCGTTATTGCTGACTGAAATTCTCTTGCTCATGAATCATATTAGAGGCGACAGAGCATTGCATTTAAGCACATCAACTCTGGCATCAAAATACCTGGGTTTAAAAATCTGGCTTCACCAATTCCTGACCTTATGTCCTCAAGAAAGTCACTTAATCTCATCTTACCTGTTTCCTACTCCAGAAAATAGGGGAAACTGATCCACTCGACAACAACAGAAGAAAAACACACTTGTTGCTTAGAAAAGGTCCCTCATTCTTAGATTTGAACCGATGACCCAAACTCACAAGACATGTGAGGGAAACCACAACACAGGAGATAAATGAGACAAACTGACGCCTGAAGAAGGAGCAATCAGAGGACAGACAGACAGTCTCCATCCCAATGTTCTGGTCTCAGCACAAATGTCACCCCCTCAGAAATGTCTTCCCTGACTTCCCCCTTCAACGTAACCCCCAGCCACACTCTATAACATCTTCTTTCACAGCACTTATGAAAGAAGCACCTGAAATGCTTTTGTTTATTCATTATTTGGGGCAGCATAGAGTAGTAAGAAAGCATACAGATTCTGGAGCCAGACTGCCCGGTTCTAAATTCGGGCTCCACTCCTTACCAGCTAAGTGGTCTTGGGTAAGTTATTTAATCTCTTTTGCCTCAGTTTTTCTCCTTCGTAAAATGGGGCTACTAATAACCCAGTATCAGAGAGATTCTGTGAAGGTTGAATACATTCTATATTTGAGGAACTTAGGACGATGCTAAGTGGGTGGTTGCTATTATTATTAGTGGCTTCTTTTCTGCCCGACCCCTCCCACTAGGATGTCAGCCCCATGAGAGCAGGAACCTTGTCTATTTATTCACTTCTTTATCCTTGGAGCCTAGAACAGCACCTTATACATAGTATATTCTCAGGAAATACATGTCAAGGGAATGGCTATAAAGGAATTCTTCCCACACAGGTGGCATTCCCTGAGCTAGAGGGATTTTTGCCAAAGGGGCCCCAATGAAAGTGTTTGCAGTGTCCAGCCCACAGCTATGATCTCTCAGCTGGACAGTCCATGACCCTTCCTTCTCCCAACAGCCTATTTCCAGCCCAGGCTTCCCCCAGACCCCCATTCAGCCTCACACTCACCCCAGAAGAGGAGCAAGCTGAAGCTCCACATCGTGCTGTGTTTCTGTCATTCAAAGAGGGGAACCTTTTCTCTGTTCTCCGGGTTTTCAATTTCAGGGTGTGTGTGGAGAGGGCAGGGGTGGAGCCAGCATTGCTTAATGCTGCCAGTACATCATGACTTTGTAGCTGAGCTTCCACCACTAAATGAGGACAGTTTGGCAAACCCCTAATGTTCTCGTCTCATCGGCATGAAGAAAAGTTGATCTGACTGCTGTGTCACTATGTTCTCTCTCCCCTTCCCTCTTTTTCTCCCCCACCAACATCTACCTCTCATCTCTCATCACCTTCTTTCATTGCACCCAGTAACAAATGAACTTCCACCACCTGACCCCAATGAAGCAAGCCCCAACCTCAAGGATCTTTTCCCAGCTTGCTCCATAAAAACCACCATCATAGCCATCACATACCAGGCACTATGCAGGTACATTGCCAACAAAATTTAACTTCCTCATTATGTCAACAACGTAAAGTGGGGATTCCCACCCCCACCTATTTTATTAAAAGAGTAAAACACACCCTCATACACTGTTGGTGGGAATGCAAACTGGTGCAGCCACTATGGAAAACAGAATGGAGATTTCTCAGGAAATTAAAAATAGAAATACCTTATGACCCAGCCATCCCACTACTGAGTATCTGTCCAAAGAACTTGAAATCAGCAATTCCAAAAGTCCCATGCACCCCTATGTTCATCGCAGCATTATTTACAATAGCCAAGATGTGGAAGCAACCTAAGTGCCCATCAACTGATGATTGGATAAAGAAGATATGGTATATATATATACAATGGAATACTACTCAGCCATAAAAAAGGATAAAATCGTCCCATTCACAACAACATGGATGGACCTTGAGGGTATTATGTTAAGTGAAATAAACCAGATAGAGAAAGACGAATTCTGTATGACTCCACTCATAGGTGGAAGTTAACATATAGACGAAGAGAACTGAGCGGTGGTTACAAGGGAAAGGGGGGGTGGGGAAGGGCACAAAGGGTGAAGTGGTGTACCTACAACATGACTAACAATAATATACAACGGAAATCTCACAAGGTTGTAAACTATCATAATCTTCATAAAAAGTTTTAAAAAATAAAAAGTAAAACACAAAAAGGAAACTGAGGTTTGGAGAAGAAATGAGACTTGTCCAAGATGACTTGGACCTGAGATTTGAATTCAGGACCCTCTGACCCCACAGTCTCAAGTTTTAACCGTTTCATCCCCCTTCAGCTCTCCACTACATCCGCTCATATCATCGTTATCTGCACAATTCACAGCGACACTCTCGCCTCATTCCAAGGCCCCCAACCCAACACACACATGCACAATCTCATAAATATGGAGGTCTAGTAATGTCTCAGTTGGGGTCCCCCAGAAGCAAATGCTGAGACCAGGATTCTAGTAAGAGTAGTTCACCAAGAGGGTGACTCTAAAAAACTCCAGCTAGAGATGGGGAAGTGAGACAGGAAAGGAAAAGAGCCCACAGTGGATGTGTTATCAAGCAAGTTCCATAGAAACTAGAGCTTAACTTCTCTGGGCACCTCTGGAAGAAAGCACAGAGCACCCTGTTCTGAGTTATCCCAACTGAGGGGCAAGGGAGCTGGGGTACTTCTCCACCAGCTACTGTCAGTCACAGATTGAGGCTCCAGAGGGTAACCCTCTTCATAACAAAATACAGTGGCTGGCAGATGTCAGTCTAGTGTGTTCTGAGGGATTGAGGGTCGCGGGTGTGGGCAGGCACCAGGAGCATCTGCTACAAGCTAAAAAGTGTGGAACGGCCAGGCCGAAGTTCTTGGGAAGAAAACCCAACTTGTCTTTGCTTCCTTGCTTTTGCTCCGTGCAAGGCAAAATCCCCGCCTTGGAGTTACAATCACGGAAGAAGATTTGCCAAGGGACCTTGCCCAGTGGGGCTGCAGTTAAGAGCCAGCAAATTCCATACAGCAAATGCCACCAAAAAGGAGGATAAACAGAGCTGTGTTATGTTTAAGAGAAGCACTGGAGGATAAAAGCAGACTCCAGAACCAGCTCACCTGGGGTTTCTAATCCTATCTCCACCTCTTGCTGGTCATATGTGATCCTGGGCACCTTCTTACTCACTCTACACCCTGACACTCTCATCTATAAGATGGGCCCACTGATGGTAGGATCTCCTTCGTGGGGCTGACATGAGCATCCAAAGAGTGGTCAAATGTGATGTGCCTAGAACAGAGCCTGGCACATAGGAAAAGCTCCAAGTGTTGGTTATTGTGGTGATAGGAGCTGGGGTCAAATCCTGGCTCTGTGAGGGACACCCAAAGTAATCTTGGGAGGTGACTTGCCTCGCTGGGCCTCAGTGTCTTCAACTGCAGAATGGGAATGACAATAGGTCCTGTCCCAAAGGATCATTGTGGGAGGGATGCAGTAATGAGGGGTAACATTGCTACCTGGGGGGCGGGGCGGGGGGGTGCTAGGACTTGCTCTCTCTTCTATAATCCTCGTTGAATGCATCCAGGGATGTGGAGCCCAGAGGCAGCCAGAACATTGAGGTAGCTTTGACAGATGTCCACGAATTCTTTGATACTCCACCTTTCAAGAGGGGGAGCCCATTTCCTCTCTCCTCGAGTGTGAGCTGGACTTAGTGACTTGCTTCTAATGAACATAAAAAGCAGGATGTGACGTTGTGTGACATCTGAGGTCGTAAGAGTCATTGTGGCTTCCCCTGTGCCCTTCCTTTCCAGCATCATTCACTGAGGAGAAGCCGGTCATCATGTGGTTATGACACTCGAGCGTCACAACGGTGAAGCCCATGTGAGGAGGAACTGAGATCTCCAGCTGTCTGCTTGACCCAGACCTCATGAGAGACCCCAACCCAGAACCACCCAGCTAAGCCACCACCTCCAGATTCCTGACCCTCAGAAACTATACGAAAATAAAAATGTGTTATTTAAAGCTGTTAACTTTGAGAGTAATTTGTTACACAGCAAGGGATAACTAATACACCAAAAAGCAATTTTTCCCCCATCAGTAAAATGACGACAATGAGGTTTGAGATTTCACGTTATAAAATCACAAAAGCCTGCCTGACACAGATTAAATGCTCAATGGTATTGGTTATTATTGTCAATACTATCCTGCTGTGCTAAATGGCCACAGCTGCTCATAGATGTGGTACCCGCCGCAACTGAATTGAAGAAGTCACTGAAGATCGTTTGATGCGAGATCTTCCAAAGCAAGTGAAAGGGTCTAGACGTTACCCCCAGGGCACTTGAAGGAGGTTCAGGAAGGGAGTAATGGTCAGACTGGTCTTTTACGACACTTGTGCTGTGAAGAGCAGGTGTTGCACGGGACGTGGGCATGGGCAGGTGGACGTGGAGAAGGCTGAGCCTGATCCAAGAAAGAGAAAAGAGTGGCAGTGGTCTGGTCTAGGGCAGGGGCTGTGGAGACGGAGGGGAATTTCGGAATCTAGGAAGTCGGAACAGAATCGAGGTAACATCAGGATGTGGGTGGGGAGTCTGAGACAAAAGGAGGAGTTGACAGTTGGAGGTTGGACTAAAGAATTGGAAGTTTTCCGATCAAGCCCAGATTCCTCCGAGAGATGAGAATGGGATGAGCTGGTGGGTGGGTCTTCTGCTGCTCCCGTAACAAATCACCACAAACTCAGAGGCTTGAAACAACACGAATTTATTATATTATGGGTCTGGAAGTCAGAGTCCCAGATGAGTCTTATGGGGTTGAAATCAAGATGGCAGCAGAGCTGTGTTCCCTCTGGGAGCTCCAGAGCAGAATCCATTCCTTGTGTTTTGCAGCTTCTGGAGGCCACTTGCAGGCAACCTTAGCTCAAGATTCCTTCCTCCATCTTCAAACCAGCAGTGTAGGCTCTTCAAATCTCTCTCTCTCTCACACACACACGCACTTTCTCTCTCCCCCTCTCTCTCTCATTCTTTCCATAGATACACACATAGATAGATACATAGATACACAAATAGATACATAGATGGATACATAGATACATAGATAGATACCTAGATGGATACATAGATAGATACATAGATACATAGATGGATACATAGATAGATACATAGATGGATACATAGATACATAGATAGATACATAGATAGATACATAGATGGATACATAGATAGATACATAGATACATAGATAGATACATAGATAGATACATAGATGGATACATAGATAGATACATAGATACATAGATAGATACACAGATAGATACATAGATGGATACATAGATACATAGATAGATACCTAGATGGATACATAGATGGATACATAGATACATAGATAGATACATAGATAGATACATAGATGGATACTTAGATAGATACATAGATACATAGATAGATACATAGATAGATACATAGATGGATACATAGATAGATACATAGATACATAGATAGATACATAGATAGATACATTGATCACAATCTCTCTCTCTCCCCCCACCCCCAACCTCCTTCTCTCATTCTCCTCCTCTGACCCTCCTGCCTCCCCCTTATAAGGACCCTTGTGTTTACACTGGACCCACCTGGATAATCCAGAAAAATCTCCCCATCTCAAGATCCTTTACTTAATCACATCTGCCAAGTCCCTTTTGATGTGCAAGGTCATTTATTGACAGTTCCAGGGGTTGGGATGTGGGCAATTTAGGGTGGGGGAGCCACATTATTCCACCTGCCACAGATGGGGTCTCGGGCTCGGTGAGTGACTGAGCACACAAGATGCCAGCCACGTTTCAAACCCAAAAGTGCTGTAAAAGCTGGACTTCAGAGGTCTTCGGGGACGAGGGCAGGCAAAAGGGGAGAAAAAGGGGAAGCATGGAGTGGAGGAAATGCACTCTTCTAGTCAAGTGGTTGCGGAAGCCTGACGCCTTGTGATTCTCCCAGCAAAGGGGAAATCAAAGGACACTGAAGAGTGAAGAGGTCAGCCTGGAGGAACCCCAGAAACATCATGCATCCTCACATTGAATGTGAGGTGGTCCAGGGCAGCCTTACTCAACTTGACCATGCTCCTTCTATATTCTAAAGCCACCCGCAGCTCCCTATAACCTTCAGGATAAAGTCCAGGCTCATTAACATGGACATCAAGACCCT